CTTACACACACACACAAATACACACGCACACACACACTTTTTTAGAACTCATTAGAATTCTTAAAAAACTAAAACAACTATTACTTTGTTGTCATATTTTTTTACTCCTCACTTTTCATACACAATGTACGAGGCTTTGATGCATGAAACAAAAATCTTTATCAAATTTCAAATTTCTCACAAGGGAATAACACCACACACACACACATACAAACAAACACACACACGCACATACAAACAAACACACACGCACATACAAACACGCACGCACACGCACATACAAACACGCACACACACGCACATACAAACACACACGCACACACACACGCAAGTAACAACAACCATACATACAAAGTTTTTTTTACTTTATACGTACACATGCTCCATACAACTTCTCAAGGATCATTCTTTACGGTCGAACTGCCATTTGCTTCTGACGATGATGGTGATGATAAGATGATGGTGATGATGATGATGATGGTGATGATGATGATGATGATTAGGAGGAGGAGAAAGAAGATACTGATGATGATGATGAAAACAGTGATTGCAAGTATAATCAAAAAGCCTCATTCTACAAAGACCTGGATTGAACGCTATTAGACACCTCATCCTTAGACCTGTCTGAGACGCCCTGAGACACGCTTTTCAGTTGCTGATACATCTGTTGCTGACACATCTGTTGCTGATACATCTGTTGCTGATACATCTGCTGCAGACAACAAACTCTAGCTGAACTTTCACTTTTTATTGACTTTTTAACATTCGAGTGACTTCTAACTTTCAAATTTTAAACTAACTTTAATTTTGCAGTAGTATAAAAATATCAATGCGTTTGTAAAGCACACACACACAAAAGAACATATATACACACAAAAATACATACATACACATGCATACAAGCACATACATACAAACGCATACATACAAACACTTACATACAAACACATACATACATAAATTTAGCAACAAAAACGACAATTGTTTTTAACTGCATTTAGTCCTTTGTATCGCGGCTCCATGATGCCATTTTTTTTCTTGTTTTTCTTGTTTTTCTGTTTTGTTTCAGTTTTGTTTTGTTTTGTTTTTATCATTTTGATCATTCGATTTGTTCATTCTAACAAGAATAATAACAACAACCACAGAACAGAATGAAAAAACATTTGAACAGTTTTTAGTATGGATAAATTGTTGCCGATTAAAACGTTTGGAAAAACTATTGAAAGAGAAAAAAAAACTATAATAAAAACAAATGAAAAAAAGAGAAAATAAAAATAAATAAAAAATAGACAAAATGGTTAAAGTGAATATATAGAAAAATGCAAACACAAAACAAAAGCATGCGTTAGTTACTAAAAATAGAAAAAGAAAAATAATCCAGATTAACTCAAAGTAAAAAAAACTCCAGAATAACTCAAAAAAAATATTCAGGACGACTAAATAAATATGAAAAACTAAAAAACAAAAAAAATGGAAAAACTAAATAATCGTATGTTATACCAAAAAAACCACATAAAAAGTATGGAAAACCAATCCAGAAAAAAAACTTTGAAAAGCATGTAAGGTGCATAAAGTAGTTGGCCTCCCATAACGATGAAGTCACTTTAAGTTAATTCATAAAATAGGGTAGAAAATAAAATAAAAATGAAATGAAAAACATAGAGAGAAAGAGAGAAAAAGAAAGAAAAAAACAATAAGAAAGAAAGAGAGAGAGAACAACGAAAAAAATGTTTCATCTTCAGTGTGGATGTTTGTGAAGCTTTTTTGTTTTTGTTTTTGATTTTTTTATTTTTATTTCATTGTTATTTGTCTGTGTGTTTACAGTTTTGTGATGATTTTTGTTTTGTATGATTGTATATATATATATATATGTGTGTGTGTGTGTGTGTGTGAGTTTGTTTGCGTCTTTGTGTGTGTTTGGAGATTATTTTTGAGTGATCTGTTGATGGTTTGTCATTTAATTTTGAGGAAACACTTCAAAGTTTAAAAACAATTGTTTGGATTTATGAAAAAAAATTAAAATATTATAAAAGTTTTGCTAGATTTTGGACAAAAATTCATAACAGAAAGGAAGAATATTATATGTAAAATTTAAATTTCCAAAAAACGGGTAATTTTTTTCGTATCTTTCTCTCAGTTACACTTACTAGCAATATAATTTGTATATATTTATTCATTCATCTATTCACTCGTTAAATCATTTATTCATTCATTCATCCATTCATTCATTCATTCATTCATTCATTCATTCATTCATTCATATATTTTATATTTTTAAATAGTAGACCAAGCATTTTCTTTTCAAGTGATTTCATGGAATGAAAAAATTCACAATTTTCATTCAGTAAATCACACTCACACACTCACACACACACACACACACACACACACACACACACACACACACACACAAACACACACACACACACTTTACTTACGTCAATTCTTCTATTTTAATAATTAAAATAATTAATAATAGTCATGTTATAATTAATAGTTAGGGTAATAATAATGATAATAATAATAACGGTTCGTTTACGTTAAAATTAGTTTTCTAATTAGACATTTGCTTGATTAATTAATTAATTAATTCTTTCGTTCGTTCATTTGTTCATTCATTCGACCATTTATTCATTCATTCATTCGTCCATTCATTCATTTGTTCATTCATGCATTCATTCATTCATTCATTAAGTTAACACAATTCTACTCAATCATGCATCTAATTAGTTATTAATTTATTAATTTATTTATTTATAATTGACAGCCGTCAAGTATGAAGCCACGCCCACAAACGACAAAACGATTATAAGGCAGAGAGCGGTGATGGTGCTGATAACGATGCAGCTGATGAAGAAATTATTTATTTCTTTCTCTCTATCGTTATTCTGGTGACGATGATGATGATGTTGGTCACGATGATAATGATGATATAAAATGTCCTTGAAACGATTGCTGTTGTTATTGTTGTTGTTATTGTTGTTGCTATTGATTTTGGTATCGTTGTTGTTTTTGTTATTATTATTATTACTATTACTACTACCAAGATTGTCGTCGTAAAGAAGCCGGAAGTCGTCGTGTTTGCGATCTATCCTCATTCCAAGACGGAAATGGTGTTGTTGTTGTTGTTGCTGCTGCTGTTGTTGTTGCTGCTGTTGTTGATGGTGATGATGAAGATGTGAAAAGTCATCATAATCCTTATAATGATGATGGTGACGATGATGATTATTATAAAAGTTGTGATAATGATGATGAGGTGGCGGAGGAGAAGAGAGAGAGTGATGAAAGCGAAAGTGAAATGGGACGCTGGGATCGGGGCACAACCAATCATCGACTGACTTTAATGGAAGCCGCGGTTTATTATTATTATTATTATTGATGTTGATATTGTTGTTGTGAATCTTGCCTTCGTTGTCGTTTTTGCTCGTTGTTGGTAATGTTGATGTTGTTGTTGTTGATAATGTTGTTGTTGTTGTTGATGTTGTTGTTGTTGCTTTTTCTTCGAGGCAGATGTTTCAAACGGCATTTTTGATGAATATAGTTTGAAAGACGATGAAGACGACGACGACGACGATGATGATGATGCTATTGGTGATACTAATGATGATGCTATTGGTGATGCTGATGACGATGCTACTGGTAATGCTGCTGATGATGATTTTGGCACTGATGTTACTTCATCATCGTGGTCTGTTTATAGATAAAAAAAATGATAAGCAAATTAAACACACATACATACGCATGTACATTCTAAACGTACCAAAACAAACATGCATACCAACATATATACAAACATACATACAAAAACATACATACAATCGGTCAAAGATTATGTTAAGCTTTATGAAAAAAAGTAAAAAAAATGATACAAACATTAATAATAAAATTATAACAATCTTACTTACTTAAAATTGCCATTATAGAATAGTGTCTACACAGACCATCGTCATCATCGCCATCATCACTCGAATCAATCAGTAATGATGATGACGATGGCGATGATGATTTTTTTGAATTTTTTTCAAATTTTTGGTTTTTGAACTTGCTTAGTATCTGCAGTCGAATTGCTTTCGTGACGAATTTCACGGAACTCGTGTTAAAATTATTAAAAGTATCACTACTACTACTACTATTACCACTACTACTACCACTATTACTACTACTACTACTACTACCACCACTGCTACTACTACTACCACCACCACTACTACTACCACTATTACTGCTACTACTACTACTACCACTACTACTACTACTACTACTACTACTACTACTGCTACTACTACCGTTACCACTTTTGAAATACTCGACCGATTTTCCCGGTATATTGACCCACTGGCTGACTTGGGACAAGAAAGCGCACGGGACAATGTCGAAGGCTAGTGGATTTTTGTCCGGATAGTAGAAACCGATGACGTCACCTTTCCTTATTCGAATCTTTTGTTGGTTGTCGGTTAATTGGATGGTTTGCTGTCGCAGTGAGGATGGTTTGAAGTATGTCTGGCCGATGAGTTTGTATCGCCTGCTGACATAAATTTTCTTCTTGTCCGTTCCATTGTTGCGGTTACTATTATTACCATTACTATAAATGTTGTTGTTGTTGCTGTTGTTGTTGATGATTTTAATTGAGCTTTTTGTGTTATTTTTGGTGTTTGCTAAAAAATTTGTTCCATCATATCTCCGCCAACTATGGTATCTTGAAATTTTGTTAACTTTTAAATTCTCTTTTCGTTTGGCAGGTTTAGTCGGGATTTGTCCAGAACCGGTACCAGAAATACCGCCGTAAAGCACCCGATTCGACACTGATACCGGCCGCCATATTTGCAAATATACCGAATGTTGGATCGAAACTTCTTTCACGAATACTTTCCAAGCGATAATTGTTGCGTCACTCAATGAGGTTTGCGTCGGGTTAGGTATGCAGGCTTTGCCCATTTTGTTGTTGTTGTTGATGTTGTTGTTGTTGTTGTTGTTGATGTTGTTGTTGATGTTGTTGTTGATGTTGTTGTTGATGTTGTTGTTGTGGTTTTTGTCGTTGCTATTTACACTACTTTCATTGCTGTTTATGTCAGTAAACTGCGAATTATTCAGGTTGTTGTTGTGGTTGTTGTTGCTATTAGTTCGACCGTCATCGTTATTATAAACGCTCTTTTTATCATCATCGTCATCAGGATCATCATGATCATCATCATAATCATCATTTCCGTGATAGTCATCATGACCGGTGTTGTCTTGGTGATAACGAAATTTGGACTGGTAACCAAGAGTTGAGCTGACTGATGTGAAATGGAATGAGTGATTTTGTTATTGTCGTTGTTGTTGTTGGGGTGATGATGAGAATGGCGATGTGGTAGTAATGATGATGGTGTTGTTGTAGTGATGGTGATGATGATGGTGATGTTGCAGTGATGGTGGTGAGGATGGTGACGTTGTAGTGATGATGGTGATGATGATGGTGATGATGGTGATGTTCTGTTGTTGATGATGTTGCTATGTTGATTATGTTGATGCTGATGTTCTCAGTGATAATGTTGTTGATGATGTTATTGTGGTAATGATTGTGATGTTTTGTTGTGATGTTATTGTTATTGTTGATGTTGTTTTTGGATTAGTTCAGTGAATGAGAAAATGGAGTAATGAAAGAATAAAAAAACGAACGAACGAACGAACAAACGAATGAATTAATGAATGAATAAATGAATAAATGAACAAATGAATGAACGAATGAATGAATGAACTCTAGCAAAATGAAAAAAAATTAAATTAAATAAACCGATTGAAAGCGTTTTCTTTTTATAAATTCATTTTAAAAACGTGAGATCAGCGAAAAATTATATAAATTGAAAACGTGTTGATTGAATGAAAGTTGTCACCATCATCATCATCCTCATCGTCATCATCATCATCATCGTCGACGTCGTCATCATCATCATCATCATCATCATAGTCAGAATAATCATCATCATAGTCAGAATAATCATCATTATGGTCAGAATAATCATCATCATAATCCTCCTTTCCAGAAATTTCCATTCTATATTTTTTACTCATTTATTTAAATTAAGAATTTTTTCATTTTTGTCTTCATTCTCACACTTACTTTCTGCTTTCTCTCTCTCTTTCTTCTTCCTATTCTCTCTTTCTTTTTTTTTCATAGTTTTTCTTTTTATTATTTTCTCCTTTTTTTCGCTTTCTCTCTATCAACTTTTTCTCTACTCTTCATTCTCTCTCTCTTTCTCTCTCTCACTCTAACGTAGGAACGAGTTAGTTATATTACGTTATCTGCTTTCTCAGAAATATTGGTGTGTGTGTGTGTGTGTGTGTGTGTGTGTGAATGTATATATGTATGTGTGTATGTGTAAGTGTTTGTTTGTGTGTGTGTGTGTGAGAGAGAGAGAGAGAGAGTGTATGTATGTTTAGTTGTACGTTTGTTAGTTTACTTAAGTAAACTTTTTTGTTTTCTACTTACAGACACACATGAATTCACGCGAGAACACACCGACACGCACACATACATGCACACACAAACAAACAAACACGCACACACACACACAGGCACGCACACACACACACAGACGTAGGTACAAACATACAAAAAAACTTGAGCGGTAAATTTGTATTTATTCATTTTCGTAGGAACGTGTCAAAGCTGAGGCGATACTATATTATTATTTATGTCTTTTGTTGTCAATCTCTCCTCAATTTACACATACACACACAAACACATACGCACACAGACACATACACACACAAATGTATACACACACAGACACATACACACGCACACATACACACGCACACATACAAACGTAAATACACAAATTTTATTAGCGACCATGCTTCCATCTTGCAAACCTGAGATGACGATATATGGGACGGTTGCTGATATATGAAACTATACACACGCACGGACACACTTATACACATACATACATACATACATACATACATACATACATACATACATACATACATACATACATACATACATACATACATACATACATACATACATACATACATACATACATACATACATACATACATACATACATACATACATACATACATACATACATACATACATACATACATACATACATACATACATACATACATCATACATACATACATACATACATACACATACATACATACATACATACATACATACATACATACATACATACATACATACATACATACATACAGACATATATACATACATACATACATACATACATACATACATACATACATACATACATACATACATACATACATACATACACGTGCCGATGTGGCGCTGGGGCGGACGAGTTTGGGCACCACGGTTTGGTTTGTCGCCTGGGTGGGTGCCGTCAACTACATCACTCAGCGCTAAACGATTACATTTGTCGGCTCTTCTCCAAGGCTTCAATCCCGGTTCTCAAGGAACCATCCGGCATTTCTGCGCATGATGGTAGGCGCCCGGACGCATGCACACTAATACCTTGGAGAGCCGGCAGATGTTTGGCGTGGGATGTTACGGTCCCTGGCACCCTCGCCGAACGATACGTAAACCTGACAAGTAAAGAATGCGGTTTGGCCGCGGCCAGGGCAGCGGACGAGAAAATGAAAAAATATGGGAACGCCCTCCCCTCGATGGAATTCTTGCCAATATGCATCGAGGTTCTTGGCCCGATGGACCCCAACACCCTTAAATTTTTTAAGGAAATATGCAAAATGATCAGCGTCAGATCAGGCGACAGCATGGAACTGTTTTTCGCAACTAACCACATTTCGTGCTTGTTGCAGCGGTTTCTGCGTGTCTGTGTGCTTGAAAATATCCAACTGAATGCCGACATGTGCAATTAACGACAAATCAAAGTGTTAATCCATTTGTTACTTGATGTTTGACGGTTCAGTGTTACTCATCATGTTTTGGTTTTAACATACATACATACATACATACATACATACATACATATATACATACATAAATACATACATACATACATACATACATACATACATACATACATACATACATACATACATACATACATACTTGATAAAATAAAGCCAAACAGTTCTGGAAACTCTAAAAAGGACAAGGTTAGTGATTTAATACTAACAATAAAAACAATTCTGAGCAACAAAATTGAAAGCAAATTGCCTCAGTATGCTGCTCTCAACCTTTTTAAAATTCCAAGCTCAAAAAAAGCTAAATTTGAGTCAATTCTTGACGAAAAGTTAAAAAAATTAGAAGAACTATTTATTGAAGAAAGAAACATCTTCCGAGAAATAGTAAATGATGCGGCTATTAACAATAGCCCAAAAGTAGAAAGAAAGCAGCAATCCGATTGCAAGACCGAATCGAGCAAGCAATCTGACTGGTCAGAGATTGTAAAACGTAAAATTAAAAAGAGCTCA